CCTCTACCTCTATCTCTATCTCACCACTGACTCTGATCAGTGTTTCTCCTCTATATAGCTTATTGTCATAGTGATGATAAATGTAATATTGTGTCTACTCTGTGAGTCGCTTTGGATAAAAGCGTCTGCCAAATGCATAAACATAAGCAGATGTTCAGGCAGGAGGGGGGGCACTCCATTGGGTCCTGGAGCCTTCCTGGTCTTCTGAAGCGGTTCAGTTCCTCTGCCAGGACCTTGTTACCCAAAGGGTGGGCGGACGGGCTCCTGGAGTTCATGGTGTCATGGACGAGATGATGTCCAGAACCCGGGAGTCCAGAACCGGAGAGTCTAGGAGGGATCAGATTCTACATTGATCTGGGACTGACAGGACTTGTAGCACAAGTTCTGCAGATCAAGTTTCACATGACTGGTTCACTAAATCCACTCATGACGGTAAAGTTCTCTGCAGCTGTTCAGCAGAACCCTTAAAGTCCATTAAGCTGACTGACCTTTGACCTCTCAGTCTGTTTTCATGAACTGAGACAAAGTGGATGAAGGACAGAGGACCAACATCTGGAAAGAGACTCAGAGGACTCTGCAGGTTCTTCTTCTCTGGTTATGGATGTTGGAGATTTTTGTATAAAAAAGCATCAACCTGAAACATTTTCAGAGCTTTAAACGCTTTTACATTTTAAACATGAAGCTCCTAAACACAAAGTTTTATTTGGGTCCTTGAAGTGAACCCAAAAAGACTTTTGCACTTTATTCTAACTTCCCTTCTATTGTGAGTCTGATAGAGCTGATCTAATATCTGTACAGTTTTCTGTTGTTGTCTTCTACATTATAGTATTATTGCTGTTGTTGAATTTCCCCTTTGTAGGACAATAAAGTCTGTTTCTCTGTGTTTCTACTGTGAATCCGTCTGATGCTGCAGAGACTCCTGATGAGCAGAACAACACTTTAAAGCTGAAGCTGTGATATTTGCTGCTGGGAACCTGAAGCAGGCGGCCTTCTGTCTGATGTGCTCAGGAGGACCAGCAGGGGGCCACCAAGAGCCACTAAAACACACCATTACATCGTTCTTCTCTTCTTTTCCTCAACACTTTGCATGAATTTGATCCTGAAACTGTCTGAAAGCAGCTGGTTTGAAGTGAAAAAAATCAGAGACAATGAAAATTTAACGATTTATTGACAGCAAGAAGAACATCAGGATGAAAATATCTTGGTATAAAAAAACATAATTTGAGGGGTAGAATCTTGAAGGTTTTTACAAACTTTCAAACGGATATTTACAAGAAATTACAGTGTGCTAAACAATAAATATAAAATAAGAAATTTACAAACATAAAATGTCTCTTGAGCTTTTTCTGACATGTCTTCAGCATCAGGGAGTCATGAACCTTCAGGCTTAAAACGTTCAACTAAACCTGTTGATCTAATTTGGACTTTTCCTGAACGTCTGATTTGTTCTCTGTTGTCTCACTAGAGGCTTTAATTAAACGAAAACATAACATGAACACAATCAGCAGAGCTGCTGCTACAACAATTGAAACAATGCAGAGTCCGATCCTGGATCTACGATCCTGGCTTCCTGGTTCTGGACCCTCTGGTCCTGGACTTCCTGGTTGTGGACTTCCTGGTTCTGGACCCTTGGTGGGTCTCTGAGGTTCTGGGTGATCAGCAGCTGCTGTAAAGGACAGAAAATGAAGCAGATTTATGGAAACAGGAAACATCTCCTCACCATGAGCTCTGTGGTGCTTCTTCATGCTAACTACTGGAACATCTGAGCTCCAGAAAAACTCACCAATGACGATCAGCCGACATCTTTCAGAGCCCAAACCGTGATCAGTCTTCACTTCACACAGATACCAGCCAGAGTCCTCAGTCCTGAGTCTGGACACATGGAGGCTGAATCGTCCTTCTCTGAGGGCCTCTCTGTCCATCTGGACTCGTCCTGCAA